CCCCATTGCCATGCCCCCCCCCCCCCCCCGGGTGTCAGTTTTGTTTTGTTTGTTTTTACAATCCAGCTTGTGTTTTTTTTCTTCCCGTCTCTCAGGTTTCGACGCCAGCTTTCAGAGCCCTGTCACTCGTTTCCTTCACCTCCAACAACAACGTCAGCCATGGTCCGAGACAGTCGACCTCTGTACCACAGACAGATGTCTGAGCCCAACATCCCTTTCCCTCCTCAGGGCTTCAAACAGGAGTACCCTGACCCCCTGTTTGAACACCCAGCCATGGTGGGCGCCCCTCTGACCCACACCTACCCCGCCACCATGATGATCAAGCAGGAGCCTCGGGACTTCACCTACGACTCAGGTGAGGGCCTAACAGAAAGTGGCAGAACGTCCTGGAGAGATGAAGGGTGGGTGAACTCAGCCTTTACTTTTGGTAGAGGATGGTGAAGGAGGTGGTTTGTGGAACAGGGAGGGGAGGGGGGGTGAGTTGGTGTTTATTGAGTTTGCCCATTATTAGGATATGGTATCTGGTTTTGCAGGGTGTTCTGCACTGGTCACCATTTCCTGTGTTGCTCTAATAGAAAAGAGGAGGAGGTTAATGGGCTCTGTTCATTGGTCAAAGACAGCTCATGTTCGTTACGTCCAGTCGTTCATCTTTCCTCTGTAAACATGTTGCTACAGTACAGTACAGTACAGTACAGTACAGTACAGTTGGCCCAATGAGAACTACTCAGTTGGATTAACTCAAACCAATTTAATGGAGTTCTTGCAGAATTTCTATTTAAAAAAAAAAGGGTTTTCAAATCAGTCCAGTGAGGCAAATGAATTTTTATTTTAATATTTTCTTTTTATTTGTGGCATAAAAAAGTGGAATCATTTGTATTTCTTTTTTTTTTCGTAGTTTGAGCAGAAAAGCTATGTTTGTAATAATGACTATATTTTAAATGCGTTTAATATTTTAAACCCTTGACAAAAGCCCCGTCTACAGAAGAGGGCGCTGTGGAGAATTTTCAGAATGAATGCTGCTCATGCATGTCACACGTCTCTGTCGCAGTCTACGTATAAAAATGAAAAACAATGTTTATTTAGATATTTAGACAAAGTATTTTTTTCTCACTTGGAATGATAATTAATTAAATATATCCAGTCACTGTTGAACTTGAACTCAGTTTAAAATATTTTGATAAAAAAAACGAACTCGATGTGTGACCAGTGAGGAAGAGAAAGCCTAACCTCGCTCCCACAGCCGCCCTTCCTCAGACTCGTTACCTCGCTGCTCTGCTGCTTCTTCATCACCAGGAGGCAGGAAACTGTGTGATTTTTTTTTCTTTTTTCTTGGCTGTTTCTTCTCACTTTTCCTGTTGCAAGTTTATTTGTGAACGAATTGTGCTTTGACTCCGGCTGTCACCGCGATGCTTCTAAATACCAATTAACACCAGTGTGTGATTAGAGGATAACAGCCGCAGTGAGGAAAAAAAAAAAATGTTTTTGACAAAGTTTTGTTGCTCCCGGTACCAGTGATATAGTCAAGACATCTTATGCAAATACAGGTTTTTCTCATGACATCTACATGAATATTAATCGTGTACCACCGACGCTCGGATATACGAACTTTATAACGAGATATCTGTATATAAGTATTTGTTTGAGCAGGAAAATGTTGGTGCTTTATTACAAAGAATATAGAGTTCACAACTTTAGATGATATCAATATATAAAAAAAAAATAGCAATGTTGTCGGAATGTAGTTTTTGGACTTTCTAGTAGCTAATCGTGTACTCATGTACTTGACCGCAATACACAGAAAATCCTCGATTTGTTTAGTCGTAATGCTACACTATACAGTAAATAAATAGTATTTAAATGTGCCTTTCCTGCAGTGTACTGCAATCTAAATAAATGCATTCGCTGTACTTTAATGTATTATCTCCTACCAGGCTGTAGCTGTACTTGGTCAGAGTAGTACTTCACTATAACGTACCGCGTTTACTATATCGGAGTGAACTTTACTGTGTACGTGATTTATCCCAGTGAACTACGCCCTCTCAGGCTGTGCTGTTCTGTACTGCTGTGAAGTACTTCATGGTGCAGCGCGGTTGTTTACAGTACTGCTGTTTACAGTACCGTGTCTTCAGGCCAGTTAATCAGAGCGCGTGTTCGTCATCCGTCAGCGCGGAGCATGTGGACAGCAGCGAGTCCGTGAGGACGGATTGGGGAGGGGTGGTAATTCCATTAGCAGTAATTTCCTCTACAGGGCCATTACTGTGATGAAGTTCAGAGAAATGTTTATGAGTCTAAATGAACGGCCAGCGGTCGCTTGATTGAACATTCACTTTGTTTACTGCGTTATTCTGATCTGGAGCCACGACAGTCAGGTGTGTCATGGAGGTTGATCCATGTAAAACAGACGGAAGAGTAAAGGTCAGTTTAAGAAGAAGAAAAAAAAAAATCACAAATTGACAGCTAGCCACTTGTTTATTTTTATTCACTGATACTACCACACTGTACCTTTGAAGTAATTATGAGTAACCTACTTTCCACACGGAGGAAGAACGGGTGGGAGGGCTTTCTTTACACGGGGATCACTGGTTCGCTGAGTATGAATTTGTGAGTTTGAAAATCATGTGTGTCATCAAGGTTCAGTCAGAGTGAACCACACATTCAAGTACCTATCAAATCTAGCCTTTAGCATCATGCTACATGATAAAACCGAGCTGGGCTAGTTAAAGAACCGTACAAGCTAAACATAATTTGGAATTATGAATAATTACATTCAAATATAAATACAATATAAATCAGCGCAAGGGACATTTTGTTATGACTTTTGTTTCATTTTAAAGCTAATTTATTTTGCTACAGTTTAACACCCACTACAGTTGTCCTGTATGTATCATAACTTTACTTATTAAATTTCGCAATTTCTTTTCAAATTAGCTTGTTGCTAATTCTGGTCTTCTAGATCAGTGTTTCCCAAACTTTTTTTTCTGGGGACCCGTATTTCAAAGGTCACAAACCTTCGTGACCCAAGTCAATAAACATTATTCATAAACTCTGGGGAAACATGATGCGAGACGACCCAAAAAAACCAAACTCTTGCGACCCACCTGAGGGCCGCGACCCAGTCTTTGGGAAACAACGTTCTAAATCTAAAAATAAGATTGATTTCTTGCCAAATAAAAAATGCAACATGTCAGTTTGTGCCTGTACATAAATGTCCTTCTGCTGGGCTGTAAGTCTTGGTCTGAGTGGAGACATTCACTCTTTCGGAGAATCTATTAATGTTTGAAAACAGGCTTTGGCTGCAGGCCACGGCGGTGGGTGCTGCTGCTGCTGGCGCCGCTCCGGTGTGGTAGGTCCTGGTGGATTAGTAAAGCGTGGACTCTTCTCTTCCAGGCTGTATGTTTGATAAAGTGGCGAGGCATTTCTACGACGACACCTGTGTGGTTCCAGAAAAGGCTGAAGGTGGGTCAGAAATGTTGGTTTTGTGAAGCCTTTTTAATGTGTGGTTTGATGAGGCGTTGACACGGACAAGTCTTTAAACACAATATAAATTGTTTAAATTCAACATTTGCTAAAATATACTTTATTTGGCTGTTAAACTGAAAACTAAAATTTTAGCAAAAAAAAAAAATGTAATCAAATTTAAGTCCTGACTGTTGCAGGATGTAGATGCTGTAAAGCATAAATACAATTTAAAAATAACTTAAAAATAAGTGACAAATGGTGAAAAGTGACAAAATGCCAGGAAAAACACATTAAAAATTACAGAAGAAACGAAGAAGCAGGAATTTTATTTTGCGCTTTTAATACAAATGCAAATTGGCTACATTGCTAAGCTAACGTGTCAACGGGCTGTAATTTGTCTCTCGACATCACTCACGCACTCTGCATTCAGCAAATCAGTAAATACACAAAACAAAGGTGCACATGTGATGGTTTTTGTGTCGTCCAATCAACACGCAGACTGTGTGGTGTGGAAACAGTTCCAAGTAGAAGCTAAGTAAAGCTGAGCTTCAACAGGGTTTAATGTGCTCTGCCACGACAGCAACGTATGAGGAGAAAAGATAAAAAGCTAATTCTAAATAGCTGATTAGATTTCAGTACATTTCAGTAAATTAAATATTATATTTTAGTTTTTTGATATTTCTTATATATAAGATGTAGGGACAATTATGTTTCAGACACTCTGTTAAAGTCACGGTCTGTTCTGTGTGCTTTCAGGGGACATCAAGCAGGAGTCGGGAATTTACCGTGAAGGTCCATCATACCAGCGCCGAGGTTCCCTGCAGCTCTGGCAGTTTCTGGTGGCTCTACTGGACGACCCCTCCAACTCCCACTTCATCGCGTGGACCGGTCGAGGCATGGAGTTCAAACTAATTGAACCAGAGGAGGTGAAAGACTTTAGCGATTCATCAAAACGAACTGCAAATGTTAGGCTAGCATGTAGTTATCTAGCCGTTAGCTGCGATTTGGCTAAATCTTTAGGTATTAGCTAAATTCCAGCTATAACCTAAACTCCATTTTTTTTTTCAACCTACAATTTTGTCGCTAATTCATACAAGAATTTGAGATAGCAGGAAGCTAATTTAGGCTAATCAGTGGAAATTCCATGCATTCATATAACGAGAAGGTGAAAAGTGAAATTTGAACAGAGACCAGGAGCCAGTGATGCGGCATGGATGTCAGAGCTGAAGGCTTGAACATCGTGGTCGGCAGGTTGTGGGTGGGTGGTCAGAGGCACAGGTGCTGTAACATCTGCTGCCTCCTATGTATCTTAATGAGGCTAGTGGGTTTTACTTTGGGCCATGTTGCCGTATCTGTCAGTAAAGATTTGTAAGGGAGTTGATTTCTTCCTTTTTTTTTTCGTTTTGATTAAAATTAAAATTTGGCCAAAACTACTCTTTTTTGACAATCTGTGTGTTTGACAAAGGTGGCTCGTCGGTGGGGGATCCAGAAGAATCGACCGGCGATGAACTACGATAAACTCAGCCGATCGCTGCGCTACTACTATGAAAAGGGAATCATGCAAAAGGTCGGTTTCACTGGTTATGAAACCTATCATATATTATATTATATTATATTCAGTGATCCCTGAATAATCCCTGTTTAGACGAGGAGCTGTGGCCAAAGACCAGGTGTAAGAATGTAAAAATGCTGTTGTAAAAAGTCTTCAGATAATCTAAACTGCAAATCACACAGTAATATTTGCTGTCTCTTCTTATCAATTTTTTTAAAACTATTTACCGGTAATGATGTTCTATCCAATGATTCAAATAGGATAAACAATATACATAATTAATTTGGGAACATTTAAATTGATAATGTTTATTTTTGTGAGAAGGCCAGAGGCTTAATAACTTCTTTAATTTCTTATACAAAAATACAAATCCCAGATGTGGCCATTCCAGAGCAGCTACAATTATTCAGGAAAATATTCGAAAAGGTTTTAAGCGTAGAAATATTTCAAAATATTTTATTTTTAAATTTACTTGAACACATTTTACTTTTTTTAAACACATTATTATTATTATTATTATTATTATTTAAATTGTTGTACTTAATAAATCTCTTAATTTTCTTTGATAAACTTTCCTGAAACGCTCTTACAAACTGAGTAAAATAAAAATTGATAAAAAAAAATAGTATAATAAAAAATGTTAAAGACTGAAGTCTCCTGTAAAACCCACATCATTTCTGAGGTTTACCTGAGATTTGACTTTACTCTAAAAGTTCATGTTTAATATTATTCCACAGCTGCTGAGGTCACAGGAGGTTAATGAGCTCACAGTGGTGAAACGGGGGACAAAGCGGTGGCGATCTCACCCTCACGTCGTCAGACACCTACTGAATTCACCTGTTTTAAATCTGGACCATCTGCTCTGGGCGTATATCAGGGGGTGGGGCTTCCTAAATAAGTAGTGGACACGGGAGATAACATTGATAAGCTGCAGGTAGAGAAGGACAAAAAAAGAAAAAAAAAATTTTTTTTTTTTTTATTTGAACCATTGATATCTTGCTTTGTACTGTTTTAAAACAAAGTCGTGTTTGTTTTTATTAAAAACGTGTCATTAACCTTTTTTGAACATTCCTGCATCCTCCTACAGGTGGCAGGAGAGAGATACGTCTACAAGTTTGTGTGCGACCCCGAGGCCTTGTTCTCCATGGCGTTTCCAGACAATCAGCGGCCGGTGCTGAAGACGGACATGGAGCGTCAGATCAACGAGGAGGACACGGTGCCGCTGTCGCACTTCGACGAGAGCATGGCCTACGTCCAGGAGGGGGCGTACTGTCAGCCCCACCCTTACAACGAGGCCTACGTTTATTAACGTCAGGCCTCCTCGACTCTGTCTCCTCGTCTCCTTTCCTGTCTCTCACATAAACACGGACGTCCTTCTCCCTTCTTTCATCATGGTCTTGTCCTCTGAGGCCACAGAGCAGAACGGAGAGTGCACTTTATGGACAGAAACAGCGTGGGTGTTTTTCCCCTGCAGCCAGGGGGCGTTAAGAGTAGCTATGTGGTTGTTTGTCATTTAATGTAGGACTTCGTCTGTCTGCTGGTTTTTTGTTTTTTTTTTTTTTGTTTGTTTTTTTGTATCTGTGTGGCCTGGCCGTCTTACTTACCGTAACTCAAAAGACGATTCTTTTGTTCAAAGGAAAACAAAGTCTCGCATCCGAAGGAAGTTGCGTGTCCGTGAGTTCACGCCTAACGCTGCCACCTACTGGCTAAAAAAAAAATTTATCATCCAATGAAACTGCAAGACTCATGTGGATGTTTTCTGGCACAAACCGGACAATTCTCATAATCATATGGAAAAAAAATAGACTTTGAAGAAATGCTGGATAATATTATATGATAGACTGTATATAACAAATGGAAGTAGCAGTCTGGTTGGACGTGAAGCCACACCGTTAGGTTAGAATTCAACTCAGTGGTTTTGAGTATTACTCCATTTGAGTGGAGGGTTTGATTGCAACGTATTTGTCTTTTTCGTATCAGTAAAGATTTTCTTTAATATCACCAGTTGCAGGTCATTCTGTCAGGATCCCATTTAGAGGAAATCTTCAGTAAAGCAGAACAAAGCATTTTCTGGTCACACCTACTCAGAGCAACAACTCGCCAGAGAAGTTTGTTTCAGATTTGCATTGCTTGAATTTGGTTTTTGTCATACCCATGTCAAATTAACATGTGTTTTCTTTTTTTTTCTGGCCGACGTTAGGGCAAGTAAATGTCCAGCTGGAATTGAACATTGGCATTGAAGTAGCTAGAGTCCAAGTAACATACAATCTTTAGGTTTATTGCCGTGTATTACATACAGTTAGGTTTTTGTTATGTAATTAACACAACCGAGTCGCTGCAAATTTCTGCCCTGTATTAGAAAATAGGGATGACTCAATGTGATTCTCAAGATCGGTATCTGTGCGATACATGTTTATATTCAGGATTGAACATTAAATAAACAACTGCAGTCCGTCTGGTCTGATACTGAAGCCCAAATGCCCAAACGTACTTATTGACGATATGCAATAAACGCACACTGCAGCAGGGTTTGTTCTGAAATTAAAGTTGTTTTTTTTTCCTCAAGTTCACAAATATTTTCACCAGAAATATCGAGAAACCGGGATTTGTAACTTTTCCTTCATTTTGTTCCAGAAAGCTATCACTGTAACTGTATCCGCAAACAACAGAAACCCAAAAATGTTAACGCTTTCGGTCGGAGTCTGAGAGGAGGTTCCGTTTACTTTGCTCTTAGGTGAAGAATTTGCAAATCTATCTTGATAGGTTTGCAAACAAAAAACAAAAAAAAACATTGTTGTTGCTTAAAAACAAAATGAAAATAATACTCATTTGACGCTCAATTTCCTGTTGAGCTTTACCACCTACTACCTTTCCAAACAGACCATCCTGTTCTGATAATGTAAGGCCTGGGTATAGACAATAAGACAACAAAAACATGACATTTATTAATTTGATAATTCTGGTAAAAAAAAACAACAAAAGATTATTTTCTCGTCGACTCCCAGAGCTTCACTGTAAAACCTGCATGCCAACATCCATTTCTTATATAGAATGTAAACCGTGTAAATGTTTAAAAAAAAAAAAAAATCAGAAAATTCCACAAGATCAGTGGATGATGTAAAATAAAGTCATTGAGTGTAAACTGCAGTTTTACACAAAAAGAAAAAAAAAACTTTTCATTGGTCGGATTATGTTCATGTTTTTAATGGCATTTTCGGTTCAGTTAAGACCAGGGGTGTCAAACTGATTCAGGTTCAGGGCCCACATACAGCCTAATTAGATGACAAGTGGGTCGGACTAGAACAATCATAACATGATTACCTGAAAATAACAATAAGTCCAGGTTTTTCCCCCAGAACAATCATAACACGATTACCTGAAAATAACAATAAGTCCAGGTTTTTCCCCCTTGTTTTCATGCAAATAAAACTGCAAAACGTTGGTACTGACCCCCGTTTTTTTTTTAAACTACAAAACGTTGGTACTGACCCCGTTTTTTTTTTACTTTCAAAATGTATCTACTCGGGCCGGACTGACCCACTAGCGGGCCGATTTTGGCCCGTGCGCCATATGTTTGACACCCCTGGTTAAGACGGACATATTCCAGGCAGTTACATCAAGGACAACTGGACTGTCTTGGTTTCTTGAAGATGCTCCACCTCACTGACTTCTCGGTGTTTAGCCTCAGAGTTTTGACCCACCACCATTCAGAATTAAGGATAAAGTAACACATACGGTATTTAATTTTGTGTAAATGAAGAAAAAAAAATTTTTTTTTTTTATGTACAGGGCATCATGAGTTGTATATTTCACTGAAACTGTTGCATTGCCTTCATTTTCCGTTCAAATGAGACGAATGATAAAAATGAAAAGTACAAGGAATTATCCAGAGTTTTATAAAGTGACGATGACAAGCATTCAAGTCCCATCGTAGAAACCGATTCATCCACATTTTGTTGCTGCTTCAAACTGTATACTGTGTATTTTATACCCCACCCCCCAAAAAAGATATGAAACATGAAATACTGTTTTTATTTATTTGTTATATTTTGTTCAATCTGAATTGAGACAATGTTCTGCTGACTGAGATTGTCTTCGAGAGACGCACGTCCGGGCAGTACAAATGAAAACAGCAGAGTTTCTGTAATAAAACGTTCCAGAAAAAAACAAAAAAAAAACAAACGCACCTTTTGGTTATTTCAAGTCCAGTTCAGCTGTTGTTAAGGACATTTTTCACATTTACGGAGTCGATTCTCACAACAAAGGCTACGCAAAAATTCACATGGAAAAAAAACACGGTCATCATGAAGTGAAGTTGTGGACCCACGTATTTCAAACCTTCACACAAAAAAAAAAAATAAATATGGAGGAACCTGGTAGTGATAGTTTACATTGGTGGCCTGGTGGTTCAGGAAGCGGACTTGTGTTCGGAAGGTCGGAGGTTCGAGTCCAGCAGCCACCAGTTTGGACATGGCTGCAAAGGCAGAGGTCACGCTGTGTCACAATGACAATAAGTCACCTTCACTGTCACTTAAGACTCATGCTAGTAGGTGGGAGACATTGGTTGTACTGAGGTATAAAGTCCAAAGATGAATTTTCTGGCAGAAATTACACGACGTACGTTTGTGCAAAAACAATCCTCTAGTTTAGCAGAATTTTTTTTTTTTTTACATAATTTTTGAACCAATAAAATGAGCAAGTGAGTGATTTAAAAAAAAAAAAAATACTTTACCGGTTCAAATATTTAATACATGGCCCCAGACTGCTATGTAGTTAAATTGTAATTGTTAAATATCACGATGGAATTGTTAAATAAATGAGGTGGAAGGCTTTTCTTTTCCTCTGTGTCGTCAGCATGCCTGTAAAGTTGACAATAATTCCTATTACACTGGTTATTATAATTTGTTTTGGTTTTTTTTGTTTTTTTTTTTTGTTGTTTTTTTTTTAATCTCATACCTCAGAAACCCTCGTTTCCCTCCATTTGTTTTGTCACCTACACTGGCAGGTGTGACACACTAGAATACAGCGTCTATTATAACACAAAAACATAGGTTTCGGGGGCATAAAATGTTGTAAGTGAGTCAACAGACTCATGTTTGCTCTCTTGTCAGTTTACAGCTTCAGGGAGAGAGAGAAAAAAAGAACTCCTAAACAAAGAACACTTAACTGCCGCATCACCTGCGAAAAAAAAAAAAAAAAAAATCAATGACTAATTTAAAATGGCTACTTTTTCATGGAGGTGGATTGGGTTTTTTTTTTGTTGGTTCTGTTGTTGGGAGTAATCAAAAAACAGCAGCGGCAGAAAGACGACGTTAAAGTTATCATTTCCTTCCTGTAAAGTGTCACCGTTGCTTAACAAAAAAAATAAATAAATAAAAAAAAATCAATGACTAATTTAAGGCAGCGTTGTTTAATTGGTTCCACTGATGGGAAAAATGAAATCGGATGTGTAAGTAATGAAAAAAAAACAACACCTGCCTTAATTTGTCAGCGGCGTCGACTCCGCGCTGGGGTTACACCCGTTCTATTGATCGGCTGTAATGCACCGGTAACTTTAAACACCTGATTGTTTCCCTGAGGATATTTAACAGCGCCGCATCCCACGAACGCACCGGAAGTTAGCTGAGCTTATAAACATGATGAAGCACCTGATAGTAAGAGAACACACTGTTATAAATGACTGTGACTGCAGATATATATATTTTTTTTTTACCTTAAATACCAACAAATCAGGATTGAGAGTCGTGATTACAGAGTTTACTAATGTGAACTTTGGTGGTTTTGTCGTCTTCTCTCCACAGCTGCACTGAATCAGGAGCTGACGAGCCACAGCAGTGGAGGGCGTGGCCTCCAATTGAGGAAGGCCAGTATTTAAGCTCCAGCTCCAACTGGATTCAGTGCCACAGTGTCTTATCCTGCTGCTGCTGGTGTCGTCGGCCCTGTAGATTGACTAACTTTGTTGGATCTTCTCATTCGCCAAAGTAATTCCTGTCTTTCTTCTTCTTTTTTTTTTTTTAAGTCTCATTCTCCAAAGTAATTCCTGTCTTTTTTTTATGTTTGTTTATTTAGTCTTAGTTTCCTGATTCCTGAACCACTGTCTTGTCTTGTTCCTTTTTGGAGTTTTTTTTTTTTCTCACCTGAGGTTTTACCTCCACAGCCACTTGTGAATAGAGCACTCTACTGTAGACCAAACTAAGGTCCGGGGGCCGGATGTGGTCAGTTCAGCGTTTTAATCGGTCCTGACAAACATTTCCAAATTATAGAATTTTTTTTATATTATCATTATGCTTCTGCCTTTTCCCCTGCAATACCCACGTTTCACCAATAGATGGTGTAGAAAATGATTAGCATTAGCATTTTAGCTAACTTTAGTTATGCTCCTGACCCGGCCCCCCTGTTCAGTTTTAGGACAATTGTGGCCCGCGAGTCAAAACGTTTGCCACGTCTGGGCTAGCCTCTTGCACGTTTATGTGTAAAGAATAAACATTTTGGTTATTTATCATCTCAGTCTTCTGGTTCCGTGTCCTCCTCCTCGGTGGTGTCAACTGATACGTATCAACTAATATCTGAATTTGCCCTTTAAATGCATGCATTCATTCATTCATTCATTATTTACTGTTTAATCCTTTGCAGGGGAGCAGGGGAGTTGGAGCCAATCCCAGCTGTCGACGGGTGAGGGTCAGGATGAGGGTAAGCCCTGGACAGTTCACCTGTCCATCACAGAGACAGAACAGTCATTCACAGCTGCGATCAGTTCACAGTATCCAGTCAAACCGATCCTCCAATCTAGAGGTTTTAGAGCAGGGGTCACCAACGTGGGGCTCGGGGTCACCTGGTAGCCCCCATGGACTACCTTTTCAGTGTAGGTTGATCACCTGAGCCTGGTCATTTGAATAGTAAAAAGTGTGGACATTCCTGTTGTAGACTGTGGGAAGAATCAGTACACAGTATTTACCACTGTGTACTATTCACTAGTAAAGTGATGTGTATTTTTATCTGTACAAACCACTGTAGGAGTTGCTGCCACCTAGTGGCTGGAGGCTTGTTATATAGTAAAGTGATGTATATTCTTATCTGTACAAACCACTGTAGGAGTTGCTGCCACCTAGTGGCTGGAGGCTTGTTATTGTCAAGCATTACAGCAGTGGTACACTTATGTCCAGAGTGCCATATTCCATTGGAAGCCCCTCAGCCACCCCGGCACCTCACCATGCCCCCTAGGGGGCCCCGCCCCACTGTTTGAGAAGCACTGACTTTACATGACCCAAAACTGCCACATGCCAATACTAATCCATTAGTCCGACAGTGTTACTTTCAAGTGGCGCTTTGGCCCAGAGGCAAAGTCTCTGTCATTGGTGTGTCTGTCATTCACCTCCTGGGCAAGTTTGAATCCCTGTTAGGGCAGTTGGTACCTTCTTAGGGGGGTTGGTACGGCCCCCGCGACCTGGTAACGGATAAATGGATGAAAATGGATGGATGGATGTTACTTTCAAAGTGGTATTGGTTAGAGGGAGCTAAGAGTTAGCGAAAATGTTGTGAAATGGGCTAAATGGGCTCAGTTGATGTACTATTTCATATTCATGTTTGTGTTTTCTTTGGTTTTTCTGTGCGGTTTTGATTATTTTCATATGATGACTATCACTAGAACAAAATAGTAAACATTAGCGCTAGCCTCGTGCGACACAAAAAGTTAGCTTGAAAGACAGCGTACGCCTTAAGTTATGATAAAATGGCTAAAAAAAAAACCAAACAGAAATGGAGTGAAATAGTCTCTACTAAATATTATAAATAGCAGCAGATTACAAAAGCTAAAAATAGCTAAAAGAAGCCGCAGCTACTGTACATCACAGACTCTGACGCTTTGACGTCGTCGTCGTCGTTTTAAGACCTGAGCTGGTCAGCAGACGGGCAGACTTAGACCTGAGCTGGTCAGCAGACGGGCAGTCTGGGACCGACCACAGTCTGGGACCGACCACAGTCTGGATCAGCTGTTGCCCGTGGTTTGACTTTGACTCTTCACGTGATCTTCACGGTTACGGCACAAACACAAATGCCTGCGGTTTATTCAAACTCGCGTCACTAAAATC